CAATAGTTTATTATGTGTTTTCGAATATGGGTGAGTAAGAATGAATAATATGATATGACAATATGAATATGGCAAGATAATATAACAATAATATTTAACGAAAATTAAATTTATTGGTTAGTTTAGTGAATCGAATCGGGACACGAAAGAATAAGATCTTGTCTTAATCGCAAACATAATGTCGATTAATCGAAGGTAGCCTATCACGATCCCAAAGTACGGAAAATGACTCCAATGGTCATTCACCATAGATTTGAAATCGAGAAGGTTATCAACTTCGATACGCGACGCTTACGAATAAAAGACTTCATCGATCCAAAAATCGAAATAAAATTGGAAAAAAGAAGGTGGTCTCGGATCCTTTGTTTCACGCCAATAATTTGACGGTTAAACGTTGGTAATCTCGTCATCGACCCAAACGAGAAAAATTGGACAAAATGTCCAATGACAAATGCAAAATAAAATCTACTTCTAAAAATAAATAAAACTTAAAATCTCTAATATATATAAGAGAACATTCTAAAAATATATGAACATAAAAAATATATATAAACTCTAGAAGAAAAAATGAATATAAAATATATATATATATATATATATATATATATATATATATATATATATATATATATATATATATATATATATATATATATATATATATATATATATATATATATATATATATATATATATATATATATATATATATATATATATATATATATATATATATATATATATATATATATATATATATATATATATATATATATATATATATATATATATATATATATATATATATATATATATATAGTGTTAATAATATATGCAAACTATATATATAATATATTTACAAAATCCTATAAAAATATAAAATATATAATATATAATAAAAGTATGTTTTAAAAAAAATTAACAAATTAATAAACTGGTTTTTTAATAAACTAATATAGAAATATATTTACATAACTATAATATTTACAAATTATTTTAAAAAAACAAAGTAGGGGGTTGTAATGGAAATAAGGGACTGTAAATAGAAAATAAAAACAGGCCAGAGGCCCATCAGTATTTATCAAAAGAAAAAGAAATAGTAAGAAATAAAAAGAAATAAAACAATAAAAAAATAAACAAAAAAATCAGATCCTCTTCTTCCCAAAATCATATCAGTTTCTCGCCTCTCTCTCGACTCTCACTCGCCAATCTCGTTTCAGTTTTTTGTTCACACAAAAAATTCATCCTCTTTCGGTTAAAATCTCGGTCTCTCACTCTTTCAACCTTTTCTGTTCTTTTAATTTCTTTTCATCTTGATTTCTATCTGGTTTTGTGATGAATGCTCAGTTTTCTGGAAAGGTTTTGATCTGTTTGAAGGAGGTGAGGTTTGGACCAGAAGTTTGTTTGAGTTTTGATTGGTTGTGTGTTTTTGAAGGTGAGAGTTTGAAAAAGGAAATGGAGTTGAGTTCACACGATGGTGTGGGTTTCAAAATCTGGGGTTTGCAGATGTTGTTGGAAAGGATGAATTTCGACGGGCTTTGGGGTTGAGAACATGATTCGCATTTTGGATTCACGGTGGTTTGTGTTTGATTTCTGAGTGTTTCGAATCTGGATAAAGAGGTGGTTGAAGTTTAAGGTTTTCGTAATGGAGGATTTCGAATCTGTGTTGGTTTAGTTTGTTTGAGGTTTTTCTTTGCTGGTTTGTTACGATTTGGGATGAGTTGAAAAGAAGAAGGTTGATTTTCTGGGTGTGTGAGAAGATGAGAAGATAATGAACAGGGGCGGTATTTGATGGTGTTTTTCTTGTTTATTTGAAAGTGATTTTAATGGAGATGAAGGAGGTGAAACGAAAGTGAGGAACGGTAAAAAAAAATGGTGGTGGTGATTCGGGGTTCTTCACAGTGAATTTGTGTTAGTCTGTTAATGGAGTAAGGATTGGGAAGGTTGAAGGTGAGGAACAGTGGCGGCTCAGATTTTTAGGGTTCTTTGGTCTAGGGTATGGAGGCTGTCCTTTCAAATTAGGGTTGTGATGAATAGGACTATATAGTCCTAGTGATTGACACGTGGCTTGGCAGTAGGATAATGGCCGATTAAGGACTTGATTATGATGTTGATAAACAAAATGCTAATGGCTAATGTTAACTAAATGACTAATAATAACCATAATGTAATAATAATATAACACAACTAATAATAACAATCTAACTTAATCTAATTTTTTAATAAAATAATAAATAAATAAATAAATAAGCTAAAAACTTTAAATCAAATCTAATTAATTCTAAAATTCTAAAATATCTCTAACATTACTAACTTAATTCTAAAATCCTAAAATATCTCTAACATTACTAACTTAATTCTAAAATCCTAAAATATCTCTAACATTACTAACTTAATTCTAAAATCCTAAAATATCTCTAAAACAAAATTAAATCTAATTAATTCTAATACTAAAATGATTCTAAAAACAAATTAATTCTATGCTGTAAAAAAATAATCTATTTCTATTTTAAATAAGAAAAAAAATTATTTCTAAATAAAATATTCTAAAAAATAATTAAAATCTATATTAAACTATTAAAATTCTAACAAAAAAAACTAATTAAAAATCTATTTAAAATTTAAATCTTATTCTAAACGATTATATAAAAAAAACTATTTTTAAAAAAGCTATTAAAATCAAAGATTATTTAAATGAAAAATAAATAACTATTCTAATTCTAAAAATATGATAATAAAAAATTAATTAATTAACTAAATAAAATTGTAAATGTAAAATAAAAAATGTGTACAAAGAGAATAATGTTTTGAAAAGGAGAAAAAGAGCAAAATAAAAATGGAAATAAAATTTATAAAAATACCCTTAGGTCGTGTGTCACGCTTCCATTGGGCAAAATAATCGAGATTTGAAAAACGCCCAATCGGGGGTGGACACATGTCTAAACGACATGAAATTAAACAAACAATGCAAAAAGGATATAAGAGCAAAAAATGCGAAAATATTTTAAAAAAAAGTAGGACAAATTTAGGGTATGACAGTTGGGCCTGACCGTTGAGCCCAACTCAAATGACTGTTTGTCTTGCACTGGGGTCTCTCTATAAATAACCTCTTTCACAAGAGGGTCAGGTATTCAATTCTCAACCTATTTTCTGTATTTGCTCTCACTCTGTCAACTTCCTTACTTTTACTTTGGCTCTGGAGTGTCTTGCAGGTACATCTCTCATTTACGATCATTATTATACAATGAAATTGAATCGAATCAGATTGGATTTTTTTAAACCTATTATTCAAAATTAAATCAACACAAATAAATTTATCTTTAAATTATATAATATTTTGACTCAAGATCAATCCAATCGTAAATATCTCTATTAAATAACAATATAGGTATATTCATTAAACTCTTTCACAAAAAAATTTGTTATTAGATAAATATAAATGTATATATATTTTGTAATTTTTATGATGATGCATGGACGTAATAGGAAAAAATATTATAAATAAAAAATTTCATTTAAAAAATATAAAAAGAGATTAAAATGAAAATAGTAAGAAATTGGGGATGATTTCTGCTCCACGTTCACTTTCACAAAAACAAAATTATGGATATCTCTCTGCGTTTCAAATCTCTTGTCTCATTCCCGTGATGTTACCGAAGGGCATTGAATCGTAACAATTATAATCTTCAAGGGCATTTTGTTCCAAAGAAATGCCAATGTCACCTCATCACACTCAAATCACAACGGGACAGGCACGACAATAATTATATATTCTCATTATTATTATTCCGATTCGTTTTAATCATTTTTTTATTCTTTTACTTTTTTATCTTTTTAGGTTTTCTTAATCAAATCGGTTCGGTACATATAAAGTTCCGCTTTCAGGTATTTATTGTGTTCTTTTCACATATTAGGTCAAAAAAAGACAAATTCTATCCGATCTATTAAAATCGGAATGATCAATGTAACAAAATTTTGTTCTACGTAAAATGCCTAATTAACTGATTCATATTAAAATTTACAATTATAAATTCATTATATTCAGATTTATTTTCTGTGTATTATCTTCTAGATTTGATTGTTTTTTCTGTATTTCCGTTCCTATGAGAGAATTAATCATGTAAAATTGGTTCGGTAATAGAAGGAATTGAAGATAAAATAATTTATATTTAGATAAATTTTTACAATAGTGAATTATAAATAAATTTTAAAAAGCAGAATCAATTTTATTTTTGAGCAACCAAATGTTCATAGTTCAGAATCGATTAAGATCTGCTTTATGAATCATTAATTAATTATTGTCCCCTTGACCTGTTTTATGTATAGTATTTGATTCTTTGGTGCTCATGAGTGAACTTTGAATGGAAATTATGGAATGCACAGGTCTCTTTCTGTTTGAAAAATGACAGTTTGTTTAATAAATTAAGAAAAGAATAAATGATAAAGAGTTTTTAAAAGCTTATCTTTATGTAAAGGGTTTGAAGTTTGAACATGGGAATTTAAGATCCTGTTTTTTCAAATTTGCTAATGAATAAATGTGAGAAGTTGACATGTGCTTGAACATTAGCCAGACATATCCACCTTCGTGGATAAACAATTATACGGCTGTTTGCATGCTGTGGGTCAGGGCATGATGCAAACCTTGTCAACATCTCACTACTTTTTTTTAAAAATAAATTGGAAAGAATGAAATTTTGATAATTAGATTATTCTATGCATCAACACTTATAACATCATCTTTATAAAAGAACGTTGTTAAAAAAAATCAAAGTTGCTTTTGAAAACCTTGAATTCTTGTGGTTTGAGATACTGTTTGCTCCTTTGGTTCCTCTTACAAAATTTTTTGTTTATAGATGCATCATTCAAAATGACATTTGGTTCGTCGTATTTATATTCTTTTCTCAATTTCAGGATTCCTAGTCATTTGTGGAGACAACAAACAGCTCTTTAGTCAGGATTGCCTTCTAAATATAGCACTGCTTGTAGTCCCATTTTAAAAGATGAGAAATTATCACTCGATGGAATCAATCAAGATCGTTGACAGTTTAATTGATCCCGAAAATGCTGAACAACTCAAAAGGACCAAATCAGGTATAGATTTTCGCTTATATAAATACACGCATATTTTGCACATTAATTCTGGAATACTCTATTGGTCTATAAGATTGTCATGAGACCAACCATTTTGCTTCACAATAGGAATGAATGATTGCTTACTTAAAAGCTATGTTTCATACTAGTCAATGGTTACTAGAGTGTTTATAAGAGTTATTAAAACTTTTATGGGCTTATTATTATAGGAAAGAACTGGCTTAGCTGTCATATATAAGGATGGTTACTTGTAGAACAAGCAACTTGTCCTAATGAATAAATAGTTAAACTTATGTAGTAAAAGAACAAAAATGGAGTAACTTGAAATCCAATTGTGTTCTTACGAATTAAACTATTGAAATAAAAAGGGGATGAGTTGCTTAGGAGTTAAGAAGTACGGACACAAACACCAGACATGACACCAATACTGAAACGTCGAGATTAGTATTTGAAATATTTGAGATTTATGAATGAAAATGTATATCATGATTTCCCATTTTATGCAGATATTGAGACCAAAATCACAAAAATCCAGAAGCTCATTAAGAATGAAAACCAAAGCAAAACAGCTACGAACTCGAGACGTTCGAAAAAAGAGACAGAACTTATGGGACTAACTGAGGACTTATACAAGCAGTACCAATCACTTTATGCACAGTATGATAATGTTATTGGAAAAGTGGTTTCTCCCACAAGAAACAAGGCTTCAGCGTCTTCGTCTGACTCAGAATCCGAGTACTTTTCCTCCGAGGAAGTAGATGGTATTAATAAGAGAAGGTCAGAGAAAGAAAAACGTAATTTATCTGGCACTGTTAAGCAGGAGCGTGATAGAGGTGATGATAGTAACAAGGTGAGGGATTCTAACGAAAATAATGACGATGCAAATGAAGGTCTTAAGGATGAAGCGTCGGGTGAGGCAACAGAGTGTGAAAGACAATTGAATTCACTAATGGAAGAGATGAAGAGCTTGAGCGACGATAAAACAAATCTAGAACTTCAAATTGATAGCCAAGCCAATGAAGTTAAACAGCTAAGTGTAAAGAACACTGAGCTACAGAACCATGTCACGGAACTTGAATCGTTGTTGAAAGAGAAAGAAGGTGAGGTATCTAACCTGGAGGTGAAACTCAATAACAGTGAGGAACAAGCGAAGTCGAACATTGCAAAATTGATGGCACAAGTCAATGAGCTTATACTTGAGACCAAATCTCTGACGACTCAGAAAGATGAGATGGAAGAAAAAATGAAATGTGATAAAAATGAAGCATCTATCGAAAGAGACGAGTTGATGGAGAGGGTTAACGATATGCAGCAAAAATTAGATTCTCTAGAGAATCTGAACAAAGAATTTGAAACTCAGATGGAAGGAAAATGCGATAAAAATGAAGCATCTAGTGAAAGAGAGGTGTTCATGGAGAAGCTTAATGCTATGCAGCAAAAACTAGATTCTCTAGAGAATCTGAACAAAGAATTAGAAATTCAAAGAGAGGAGTTGATGGAGAAGTGTAACAGTATGCAGAAAAAATTAGATTCTCTAGAGAATCTGAACAAAGAAATTGAAACTCAAAAAGAGGAGTTGATGGAGAAGCGTAGCGGTATGCAGCAAAAAATAGATTCTCTAGAGAATCTGACCAAAGAATTAGAAACTCAAAGAGAGGAGTTGATGGAGAAAGTTAATGGTATGCGGCAAAAACTAGATTCTGTAGAGAATCTGAACAAAGAATTAGAAACTCAGATGGAAGTAAAAGGGGAAGAAATATCGCAGTACCTAATTCAGATAGAAAATTTGAAGGAGAATTTGGCCGAAACAAAATCACTTAAGCAGACAATGATGGAAGAGAAAGAAGTTTTTCTCGCGGAGTTAAAGGACATGGAACTCGAATTGGAAACTCAAAGCAACCAGAAAATTGATGTGGAAGAACAGTTAAGAGATACAACTTATGAGCTTAAACACATGATGAATGAGAACAAGGCCTTGCAGGACAGAAACGATGAACTAAAAGCAGCGATGACGCAAAGAGGGGAAGAGATAACTAATTTTTTGTTGGAAAATGATAGCGATGAAAATGAAGCTTCTATGGAGATCATGGCCTTAAGAGCTCAAGTTAATGATATGAGACTAGAGTTGGACAGTATGTATGAACAGAAAAGCAAGTTAGAGCTCCAAAACGAACGAAACCAGAACGAGTATGCAGAAAGCCTAGCAAAGATGGAAAGCGTGAACACAAAGTTGGTAGCCCAGATAGCTGATCAAGAGAATACCATTGACCGAATAAAAGAGGAGCAAAAACAAACCATAATCGCGTCGAATAAGTTCAAGTTGAATCTGCGGACGGCAGAGAAAAAGCTGGAAGAATTGGCAGATAAGTTGAGGAAGAAAATGGAAGACAATATCCGCTTATTGCACCAGAGGATCCACGTGGCTGAACAACTGAACAACGAAAACAAAAACAGCTGCAAATTAATGTATATGAGGTACGAGCAAGAGAACAAGACTCTTGCAGAGAAAGTTGCTATTTATGAAGATGAACTAAAAAGGCTTAAAGAAGAATCTAAGGAAGCAACACACTCTCCAGTGATCGATCAAATGCGGATTGAATTTGAAACTGCTCTAAGTGGATTAGACGTAGCAACTGCAAAACTCGAGGAACACAGAGAATGTGTCATGAGCAATGTGTCTAAAATGCTGCATGAGATTCAGTTAGCTAAGGATTGGATAAAGAAAATGAAAGCGGAAATGAAACAATTGAAAGACAATGTGGATTGTCTTACGGCGTTACTGAGTGAAAAAGAAGAGCAGGAATTGCTTTTGAGAGACAAGGTATGGCATTTAGAAGCCACGGTGAGCAAAGAAGGAGGAGAGAATCTGAACTTGACAAATGCAGTGAATCAGCTTGAAAGGAAAGTTGGGAAATTGGAAAAGAATCTGAAAGAGAAAGACGAGGATTTGGACAGTCTTGGAGAGAAAAAGAGGGAAGCGATAAGACAACTATGTTTGGTTGTTGAGTTTCATCGCAACCGTTGTAGCTATCTTGTGAATTTGGTCTCAAATATGAGAAATAAGAAGAAGACATGAACCTTTTTTGTTTTCTGTTAATTGTACATGGAGATATTGGAGGCCAATAGTCCACAATTTTGTAAAATTGAAAAGTTTTTCATTCTATTATTATTCTTTTCACTTTAAAAATAGAGTGTAGAAGATACACTTTGACATGCTAATAGTTGTTAAGTATCTCTTTTATTTATTTTATAGTTAGTTTTATGTTGGTAAGTTGTCAGTTTTTTCTTCTGATTTTAAGTGAAGTTCTTCTCTTTTGTAAAATCATTCAATTTTGATAATCTATTAAATAAAGAGAAAGTTGTTAAGTTTATCCTTTCTATTTCTAATATGGTAATTGGTGTGCAACCTTAGCTGGAAAAAGAAAGTTGTTTGTTGAGAAGTTTATTTCTGATTTAGATGAATAAATTTGTAACTGTAATTTTTGGGACTTATTGTTGATTGAGATGAGCAAATTTGTAATTGTAACTTTTGGGACATAATAAGATTCCTTGTAGACATGCTAAATTTGTATGTTCAAAATTTACACACATGTAGTTGTAATTGTGGGACTCGGTAGGACCTATAATTTTTGGAACTTAGTTGGCAATTGTGAAGTACAATTTGTTACCAAACTTTTATGTTTTCTATTGATTCTGTGTAACTTTATCTCAAATGAGATCACACTTAATGTATATTTGGTAATGTATTGATTACAATTTATACAATATTAAAGCTATTCATTGATAATTAATTTTAATCGCAATCTTAACATTTTCTCTTAAGTCGCATTATCGGATTTTTAACACTCCCCCTCAAGTTTGATCATATATGTCATATGAGTCGAGTTTGTTACAAATATAAATCCACTCGAGAACTCTTGAGAGACTTATTGAACATATCAGTCCATTGATCTTCAGACTTGATGAAATCTGTGATTATTTCTCTTGAAAGTATCTTGTCTCTTACATAATGACACTCTATTTCTATGTGTTTGATTCATTCATGGAAGACCGAGTTAGATGCAATGTGGAGTGTCGTTTAATTGTCGCTTATGAGTTTTGTGGCTTGAAGATCTTCCAACCTAAGCTTTGAGAGTAAGTTTTTAAGTCATGCAAGCTCCTTTTAGACTACTCCCATAATACGATATCCAACTTTAATGCTAGATAGCACAATTGTATTTTATTTCTTCCTTCTCCATGAGATCTAATTACCTCGAATAAGAACACAATATCTAGAAATGGATCTCCTATCCGACGATGATCCAGCATATACGACATTTGAATATTAAGTGATTTAAGCATCACCTTTTTCTTCATATAGTCTTCTTCCCGCTGCATTCCTTATATATCTAAGAATTCAAATAACTGCATCCCAATGACTATCACACAGAGCGTTAAAAACTTGACTCACAATGCTCATTGCAAATGTAATATTTGGTATGGTGACTACAAGATAATTGAGTCTACCCATAAGTTGTGTATATCTTTCGAAGTCTTTCAATGACTCTCTCTGACCTAAAAGAAGCTTGACGGTGGGATCCATAGGAGTATCAATAGGATGACAATCAAGCATACCAATTTCCCTTAGGGTGTATAATGCATACTTGCGTTGGTTGATTGCAATGCTTAATGAAGATTAGGCAACTTCAATGTCTAAGAAGTATCTGAGTGGACCTAAGTCTTTTGTCTGAATTTTTTTTGAAAAGATGAGTTTTGAGTCGCTGGATACTATTTGGGTCGTCTCCAATGATAACAATGTCATTAACATAGATCACAAGACAAGTGTGTCGACCGATAAAGGAATGAAGGAAGAAAACATAGTGATCTTCTTCACATCTAGTCATACCAAACTATATCAAGACAGAGCTCAAACGTCCAAACCAAGCACGTATGGACTGTTTTAACCCATAAAGAGAACGGCGTAATTGACAAACAAGTTTAGAATTTCCAGAATCAAAAAAATCCCGGAGGCTAATCCATATAAACTTTCTCCTCCAACTCTCCTTATAAAAAGGTATTTTTTTTTAATGTCCAGCTGATGAAGCAGCCAATGATGAATGACAGCCATTACAAGAAAGAGGTGAGCTGAACTGATATTGGCCACCAGAGAAAAAGTGACACCTTAATCGAGACCAAATATTTGTGTGTAGCCATTAGTTACGAGATGGGCTTTGAAATGATTGATTTAACCATCTAGTCCAACTTTCACTGCATAAACCCATCGAAATTACATTGTAGTTGTGTATGGAGGTAAATAGACAATGTCTCAAGTGTTATTTGAATGTAACCCAACCATTTATTCCACTATTTCTTGACGCCAATTGAAATCATTCATAGCTTCACCTGTAGATTTAGGGATAGACATAGAATCCAATGAGAAACAAAAGAAATATAAGAAGTACATAGATTGTCATAGTTTAAAACACAAGCATATTTTTTTATAAGGATGATGAAACTGAACACCTTTTTGTAATGTTATTGGAAGTTTAGGTGCAGGTGACGTAATTGGAGGAGATGGTGTTGGTGGCTCAATATCATATTTTACTTTTGATGAACAATGTGTTCTGCGCTAGTAGATATGCAGTGGAGGTGTATAAGCTGCAATAAGGGCGAGGATGATAAAGGGGATCTCTCGAACATCCAAAGTACAATTCTATTCAAGTGACACAGAGGAAGAGAAAAATGGGAAATTTTCAAAGAATGTGACATTATAGGAAACAATATATCATTGAAGTTGGGGACAAAAACAACGATGTCCTTTTTGTATACGTGAGTAGCCTAGAAAAATACATTTGAGAGATTTGGCAAAAAGTTTGTCTTTACCTGAACTAAGTTCATTAACAAAGCATGTGCAACAAAAAATATGAAGAGGACTGGGGTAGATATCATATTACAGGTTCAAGATAGAGTGTGGAATCTGATCTTGAAGAACCGAGGAAGGCATTTGGTTTATAAGATGACAAGTTATGAGAAGAGCATCACCCAAAAACCGAGAAGGGGCATTGTGGTGAAGTAAAAGAGTCTGTGCAGTTTAACTAAATTGATTATTTTGTTCACCGACATTGTTTTTATGTGTGCGCGTGTGTGTGAGCACATGATGATTGATGAATAATCTCATGTGATGTTAAGAAATATTGAAACATAGATGACATATATTCACGAGCATTATCACTGCATAAAATCTTAATGGAAGTAACAAACTGATTTTTAATTTCTGCATATAATTCTTGGAATATATGAAAAACAACTGAATGGTTTTTCATTACAAATAACCAAATACATTGTAAAAACCCATTGATGAAAGTTACAAATTAATAATAACGTAAAGTTGACTTGACACGACTAGGACCTCAAATATCAGAATGAACTAAAGTAAAAGGTGACACAACACTTTTATTTACTCGTTGATATAGTTGTGACGAGTATAATTGACACGACTGACAGTTAAATGACAAAAGCTTAGTAAAACTAGGAACTAAAAGACACGTTTTTATTAAGGATAAGGTGACTCATATGTTGATGTGTAAGGATTTGAGGCGTGAGAGAAGCACACGCCACCGACATTGATAAATGATATAATCCTTTATATTCACTTTATGCTCCAATTATCTGTCATATGCGTCGATTCTGGACATAAACAGAATTATCAATAAAAAACTGAAAAATCAAGGATACGAGTGAGCTTGTTAACAAATATTAGGTTTAAAGAGAAACCAAGAATATAGAGCATAAAATATAGAGGCAAGTTTGGATGTGGATGTGCCTGATCAAGGCCTTGAACTTTAATTTTGGAGTCATCTGCGACAGTGATAAAAGACAAAGAATTAGAATAAGACAAGTGAGATAAAAAAGATTTATTACGAGTCATATAAGGGTGGCAAAATGGGCCTCCTGCTCCGCCCTGCCTCGCCCCGCCTTAAGCCTGCTAAAAAAGGGGGCGGTGTGAAATTGGACTTAAAAATCTAGTCTGCCCCGCCAATGTGGCAGGTTGGCGTGCAGCGAGCTTGCTAGACTATTTTTTTATAAATTTATTTTTCATTTTTTTAATAGATTAATAGGTTTATTTTTACATTTCAATTAAATTTTTCACTTATTTTTCAGAATAAATTTTTATAAAGCATCTTTTTAATAAATTTTACTTAAAAAAACATTGCATATATTCATAAAAAAATGTATAAAATAGAATCATCAACAAGTATTCCAAAACTATAGTTCAAATATTAACCTTCAACTAATCAAAGTAAATATTTTGAGTGCTTGATAACTAGGTTGGCGGGCTGGTGGGTCAATTCACCCTTTTTTGGGCAGACTTAAGGTGAGTGGGGTAGGTTGAGCAATAGGCGGACAAAAAATTCCAACCCAACCCGCCTTTTTTGGTAGGTGCGCGGGTCGGCCTGGTGGGCCACGACCCGTTTTTCCAAAGGATGAGAATGTAGAGACAAATGTTACAGGATTACCAGACTGAGCAATGGCAACTGCTGATGATGGTTGATGGGATGCTTTGAACTGAAGGAACTCATTGTAATCAACTGCCAGAATAGTAACATCTTTAATGGTAGTCACTTAAGCAAGAACATCAATCCTCGATTGTCATTGTTGTTCCCTTGCCTTTGTATGACCTTAGTGATTACAATAGTTACAATAAATACCATGGCATTGGTCGCCACGTCCTTCATTTCGTCCACTACAACCATGGTAATAAGAAGCATGAGTAGATGATTTAGTGGGAGATAGAGTGGAGATTAGTCTAAAAGCATGAGGTGTAGCCAAGCACAACAGTTGTTCACTAACTGATTCATAGCCATGAATAGTGGATCCTGATAAAATCTGATTATGTACAAAATCAAGTTTTGGTGCAGTCCGATAAGTGTCATGATCATAAAAAAAACTTGTTGCGTTATTGTTCATAAGTTGTTGCATCATTCATAAAAGGTATTACAGTTGAAAAACTAGTCTTCAACGAATCAAGCTTACTAAGATAAGCTCGCATATCCACATTCTCCAATTTCAAAGAGTTGATACTAAGGATGACACTGT